CTTAATTAATGGAGCTTGAAGAAAGCTCCTTAATCATTGGAAGGAGGAAAAGAGCGCCTTAGAATTTCATTCAACAACTTCAGTACATAAGATACATCCAGGACAACACCCCTGTGTAAAACATACAACCATACAACACCCTTAAACAACCAAAAACAACAGCACTAACTTAGCCTAAACCAAATAGGCTAGGTACCCCACAACTGAAGGTGCGTCCTGATTACCAAACTAGCGAAAAAAATACAAAAAAAGGGCCCAAACAACCCGAAGTAAAAACAGAACACAATACAGCAAAAGAAACCTTCAACACTCAACCAATCCCTTGCTTAGCTAGCCTGTCAGCCTCAAAATTACAGCTCCTATGAATCCAATTAAGAACATAGCCTTTATCAAAAATTGCAGCTCCAATTTCCTCCACCAGTTCACTGAAAAAGATAGTGTAATGTGTGTGTGTGTGTGTGTTTTTTTTGTTGAAAGAGTATCCTAATAGTGATAAGATCTAAGATGTTTTGGTTGCTCTAATTCTAGCAGTTTGTTGAAGTTTAAACTAAGCATTAGATTATTAGGAGTTATAAAACTTGTTGGTGAGATGTGCTATAACTAAACTATATTTTTGCCTTCTACAAGAATCAGATAAATGAAAGCTGCAATAAATATATGGTAATGGGTTTTTCTTGATTCATGCCCTTACATATGATCTATAGATATATTCCCTATGTATGATTAAGTTGATTGTTGCATGATTCTTTGTATGTGTTACAATCATCCTAAAAGTAAATTCAGTTGCAGAGGTATGTGAGTAACTGGTGCTAATAGTAATCTCGAAATTGTGGTATGTGGTATATGTGATGAATGATTAGGGGATCTTACCTTTAGATTGTTAGGGGAATCAGAAAAATATTCATCTGCTGTTTGAAAGGGGGAAAATAAAGAAAGAGTGAAAGAAAGAAAAGAAGACAACTTTGTGCATAGCCTTTTCGAAGCTCTCTTTGTTTTCCAAACTTGTACCTCAGTTTGTATTTATTTTTGGAGTTCTAGTATTTTCAGTTGTTTTTCTTATTCATTCTAACTTCTATTTTTTGCTTAATCTGCTTCTTTTCGGAACTCTTGTGCAACTCTGTCAAATAACCTGCTGCCTTTTTAGCAGGTATGCTATCACTGAGAGATCTTGCTGATCTAATTTCCAAAAAGTTGCAGAAAGATCTGTTTGTGGGTGCTGAAATGCATGGAAAGAAGGATGATGACCTATACCCTTGGAGAGGTAAAAATTGTGGAGAATGGTAGTGGCAAAATACAATATGAGGTAGCATTGCTTGGAAAAGATAAGAAAATAACAGAAAACATAATATTACATGGAGATGATCTGATGTGGAAGAAAACACCCTTCAGCAGAAATATTTTGAAGTCTTTTATTAGGGAGTCGACATGCCGAAGTATTCCATGGGTGATCCATGAAAAACTGGCACAGAAACATGGTATATCAACAGACCCTCCAGAGGAGTTGCGAAGCAGATTTTTCTTTCAAGATGGACAGCTGGTTAACAGACCGAAGAAAAGGAAAAATGAAAATAGAAATAATGTTGGGGTAATCATACATGTTTATGGTACTCAGTTTAGGATCTTTATTTTATAATATGTTGTTTTGTCACATAATTTCTCATGACCAGGAAGCAAATGGAGATTCTGGGAAATCCAAAAGGAAGAAAGGAGAAACTGGAAACCCTGATGCTGGTAAGGAGCAAGTTGAACATCAATTTCTTCTGTATGTTTCTTGTATTTGTTTGGGGAGCTTATTGCCTGGCAGTTTTAAGGTTTTGTTTTTTCTTTATCCTTTCCTGCTTCCTTCTTGGTTTTATTTGTTGTCTATTTGTGTATGTTTTGCTATTTAATTTTTTGGGGGAGTGGGTGTGCCATATTTCAGCATGCAATGCTGCAGCACTGTTTTTTATTTTTCACTTTTTCTGATTATTCAAACTTTAATTCACAGAAAGTAATCAGCCTGAGGAAGAACCTATCAAATATCCAATTGATGACCTGCTGGTGAAGCCTGGTCCTGATGATCCACATTTTACTGATCGACCCTCTCTGTCAATGGATTTCAATGTTCCAATGGATTGCGTTGGGGATCTTTTGATGGTTTGGGATTTTTGTTCTTCACTTGTCGGGTGCTAAATTTATGGCCATTCTCTCTTGAAGATTTTGAAAATGCCATATGTCACAAGGATAGTAATTTGGTTATCATTGTAGAAACACAGTCAGCTCTACTTCGATTACTCATAAAAGATGGTGGTGAATATTCATCGACTTTAAAGAAGAAAAAGCGAAAGCCGAAGGTCAGAATATTGTTGAAATTTACATTTAATACTGTTTTTCGTTTTTTGCATGAAAATCTCTTTATTTCCCTCCCATGTGCAACCTCCCTTGCTCATGCTTTGTCTTTTGACTGTTTTTGTTTCAGATTTCACTCGTCACTTGGACTGAGTATATCTGTGATTTCTTGGAAATGATCAACATCACTGAATTATGCTCTTATGTGAGCACTATAAAGAGGGGCCATTACGGGCTTTTGGAGGCTAATGCCAAGTTAGTAATTTTGTGTGAATTGGTTTGTCATGCCCTTAGAACTGATGCTATTAGAGGGAAGTTGGATGAGCTTATTGAGCAGCGGCAGGCACTTGGAGCCACACGAAGAGGGGAATCTTTGGAATATGCTAGAAAGAAACGAGAAGAAAATGAACAATTGAAAAACGAGCCTGATGCATTAGTAAAGGAAAATAGTATGGAAAGCACAGGAAGCAATCCACAAATTGCAGAAAATGGAGATCAGACTGGAGAGCTGGCGGAGGAGGTTATTTCATCTAGGCAAAGCAATTCATTTCTTAATAGGTACGGGCTGCATATTTTTTAGACAAAAAGATTATTACCAGAGATTTCCTTGATGCATTTGCCGTTTGTTTTCGATTTATTCAAGTAAGAACTTAGTAAAAACACCAATCAAATGGAGCCAGGAGTTCATGCACCCTAGTTGTGTTGTTTCTTCTTTGTATAGCAGGAAACAATTAAATGGGCAATCAAAGAAAGCAGAGAAGCAAAATGTGGATCCAAAAGCCGAAGCAGAAAATAACTCAAATGAGAAGGGAGCACAGAAACAGCTAAATGGTGAAAAAAGGGAAGATCAGGAGAAGAGTAAAGAAAAGAGGGAACAGAGGGTTCAGTCTTATCTCCTTACTCTCTATCTGATGTCTGTATATTTTGCTTTGCTCTTGTTTCATTAACATTATTTGTACAACAGAGGGAATACTTTCAACGCGAGATTGAGAAACAAAACGTTCGTACTAATCCCTTGGGTAAAGACAGACTACAACAGGTATTGGTGGTTTAGGCGAGATGGGAGGATATTCGTCGAGAGTTGTGATTCAAAGCAGTGGGGCTATTATAGTGCCAAGGAAGAGGTATGTTCCATTTATAGATTTAATTCTTCTGTTGAAAAGATTTAACCAAAAGCTTGATGGACAGGTTGATCTACTAATAAGTTCACTGAATCCCAAGGGAGAGAGGGAGAAAGCTCTTCAAAAGCAGCTGGAAAAATTCTATGACAAGATCAGGTGAGAGTGTCATCTAGTTTTTCCTTTGTAGTACAAATGGAGTTGTGTTCGTTCTCTAAAAAATAGGGTTTCGACATTTGCAGCATGGAATTGCAAAAAAGATCGAAGGACATGGGTCAGAAGATTGCGTTGGAAGAGGCGGTGCTGCGGAGATCGACTCGCGTTCGAGCACCACCTCGGGAAAATCCTGCAAATGCATTCCTCAAGTATGTGAACAAGTGGAAAGGAGACTAGGAGAAACTTCTTGTGAGGTTGATGATTATAAGTGGTAGTTAGCATGAGATTAACATTGTGTTGGAAGGAGAGGAACTGGGATGGTGCCTTTTTTTGTGTTAAATCCATTCCTCTTTTATTTACAAAGCCGCCAACCCCTAAATCTCATTCTTTTTAACTCTTTTGTTAACCGGCCTTTACAAATTTCTGGGATTCAAATCACAACACTTCTCTGTTACATGCATTGATTAATTTTTGTGTTCTTTAAAATTAATCTATATATAATATTATAAACAAAAATGTTAAATTTAGTTTAAATATATAATAATTTTACTTCAAACACAATTTTTAACTTAAATATTGTTTTCTCAACCATGATATAAATATTTAGCTTGCTTAAATTGAATTTGAAGTTCTCTATTTTTTTGTTCTAGAAAATATCTTGGGATTGTGCATATACCCCAAGGTTCTAGGCTTGGGTCTCATGTTTGAGTATTTTTAAACTTCCTTTTATTTCAAAAATATCTTGGTGTTGTGCATACACCCTCAAGTCTCGGGTTTAAATTTATCCATCCCATTTTTATTTTCTTTTAAAGTTTCACATATATGATAATGTGTCAGTGTCTTATTTATATGTAATAAGTGATAAGTATGTTTTTGTATTGATTATGACCAAACTGAGAGAAAGTGAAAATAGGTTATTTAATCAATTTTGTTAACCAATGATTTGGTTTCAATCAAATTAAAATGTTGGTGACTTCGATGACAAAATTCTTTTGTTTAGTGATCAAAACGAAAATTAATCCCATAGTTGGTGTCCAATAGGGTAATTTACCCTAATTTATAGTAACACTTTAATGACAGTCATAAAGTAAACATCTTTTAATACAAGTAGTTCAGTCAAAACCTGGAAAAATGAATAAGCTCATCAAAAGACCCAATTTATAGTACTGAATTAAGATGCAGTAAAACATCAAAACCCACTTCTTTCATCTTAGTACACACACACAGAGTGTTATTAATGCTGTGAATCAAATTAATTGATCAAAAAGAAATAGTGTATGTTGGAATATCTCCTAAAGATCCGTAATCAAGCCAACCAACCATCCAATTCAGAAAGAGGAGCGGAATGGTTGGGGTGGCCGGAACAGACATATCTTATTAGCAGGAAGGGACCCATTATATTATAATATATATTCAATGGTGTGAAGGAGCCTTGTGTTTCGGTGCGGGGGTCGGTGGAGCTGTGGGTGGTTGAGAGAGAGGAGCAGCAGCTATAGGCGGCGGAGGAGCCATAGACGGTGGAGGTGGGCTAGGAGAGTCTTGGTAGTAAGGATAGATGGTGTACACAGTCTGTGCTATGGTGAGAGCGAAGAGAAAAATGGCACCAATCAGAGAGAGTATAGCCCATGGGTTTCTGAAGTAGGTGTGGATGAGGTTGGCTCGCCATTCATTCCAAGCTTTCTTGCAGTACTTATTAACCTTCTTGTGCACCTCATCGAGGCTGCTATCGGGGTCCAGCGTTATATCTTTCGACAGCGAGTTGAAAAGGTTAGCCACCGCTTTGTCACTCCCCAGTGCGTTCTGAATGATCCCCCTCGAGTGTAAAAGAGCAACATCCCTCTCGTTGTCGATGATGTTGTCCATGAAAAAGATGTAGGATGTCACCTCGTTTCCCGCCCCTACGTGGAAACGTTCGAATGCCATCAGGTTTAAGAACATCGACTCCGTCGCGTCATCCACAATGATCACCGGAAGAGCGAGGACGCCTCCCCGGAACTGAATGTCCTTGAGGCTCACGGATTTGCTTTTCTTGAACCGGATCCCGGCTTCGTTGAGCTCCATCGCTGATCGGATGATGTCGTCGCCATCTTCGTGCAGGAAAGAGCTCGGTTTATAACGTCGTTTTCGTCGTCGACGTCCTAGTATGTCCGGAAGCAGACTCTTCCTATAGACGTCCAAGACGTGCAAGCATGTCCCCATGGTTGAGATAGGCGTGTTGGGGGAGCAGAACTTGAGTATAAGCTTGTTGACGAACTCTTCATCCTGCATGCACCAACGTGGAATGGAATCTAACGGTGAGCAAATTGACTTGAAAAAATCTATTTTTTTGAATTGACTTGAATTATTCGACTCTTAATTTTATAAATTCACTTAATTTGAAAACTTTCTAATAATTAATAGATTATAGAAAATCTTTTAACTCGGAATATATATATATATATATATATATATATATATATATATAATTATAGAAAATCTTTTAACTCGGAATTAATTAATTATTATTATAACATTATAAATATTTAAAATTAAATTTATAAAAACTCAAACAATTTGACTAAAAAAAAAGGTTAGCAGCTTGCAAACCTTAGTTCCATTGCTATCAACAGCAAGTAAGGTGTGAAGAACATGCATTGGCAGTTGATTCTCGAGCATCAACATATCCCTCTTGATAAAGGGCATGATATGTATCTTCCCGTGCCGGCTGAAGACAGGGTCATTGGGAGCATAATCTTCCATGGTATGAGTAGCAGAGCGTAGAATTTCGAGCATGAAACAGCCATCCAGAATCATCATCTGCAGAAACTTGTCGTCGTCATGTTCCCATGCAGGATCGAGCAGATCATAACATTCCTTCAATTTCTCCACGTCTTTAACCAGGGAGTTTACAAAAGCTTCCAAGGGTTTGTTGGATCTCTTGAGGAAATGGAGGAGTGCTCGTTTCTTGTGTCCCTCCATGGGGATGAGACGATCCTGGCCGTGGTGGTAGGGACCGAAGGAGACCACCTGAGGCACGTAGGCTTTCTTGTTTAGGTCGGCGAGGGCGGCCGGCACTTTGTAGATGGATCTCTTCATCCAGTGCTCCTTCTCGGCCTCGGTGCCCGGCATGGTTTCGAGCTTTCGGTTAACGTCGATGACCCAGGTGGGTTGCCCCATTTGTTCTTCCAAACTGTAAGTAAAGGGACATCACATGTATACAAGACGAGAGATGAGCTTTGAAATATAGAATATAGGCTTAATATAAAAAAATTCTCCCAATTACATTTCTTTTTTCATTTAGCTGATTAATTTTTTTCTGTTAATCTAGTGATTAAGGTTATAAATATGATTATTTTAAGTCTCTTAGATGCAATGATAGTTAAAAAAGTTCGTTATCGTTAAATAACACATGTCATATTTATTCTTTATTTTAAAAAAATATTATAATATTTTAAACACTCCAATTTCTCTTAAATTATATAAAAAAAACTCAAATCCTTAAAATTTCCTAAAATCTATAGTTCTAACCTTACCATATTCCTTGTTGGTTATGGCCACTGCCGCCTTTGCGATCTCCCTTGTCGACCATCATCACCCTTGCCATCGCGCTTGTTGTCGGGTTGCGTGGATATCATGTTTATTTTTTCAGTCGTCAGTTTTTAGATTGTTGGGATCTTTTCGTTGAGTAGAGGTTCGATCATATAAGGTTCAATTGAAGGCAACAACGACACACGACGACGTTCGACATGAGTTCAGGGATTGAAATTATGGATTTTAAAGTTTTGGATCTTTTTTAAGATTTAAGAAAATTTTAGTTTTTAATTATAATTTTAAGTGTTTCATTTTTAAATAACATTTTCAAAATTATATAAATACAACACATGTCACTTAACATAATTTTTAACGATTATACGGTTGAAATACTTAAAATGATAACGCCTAGATTAATCGAAAGAGTTAAATAAGAAAAGATGTATGAGTTAGATACTTTTTATAATCAAGCATTATAATATATAGAAATTCCTTTCTTGGAGCAATTATTTATCACACTTTTAGGAATCATTAATGAGGACTAGGAAAAGAGACAATGGGAAGAAGCTGAAACAAGAAACTGACGACGTTAAGCGAAAGTAGGAAGGCTTCCCTCTTCTTTATTCTCCGCAAAGAAAAGTATCATGGCATTTAGAATTGTGCTTTTTGCCCGACGTGGCACAAGCAAAGAAGATTGTTTTAAACAGATATTTAATATAAAATACACAGAAATAATTTAAAATATATAATAATTTTAAAATTTTAGGAGATAACTACCCTCTCTCGATCCATCATTCACCTTTGACCTAAACCACACCCAAAATTAGAATGCAAATGTGCATCGAATTTAAAGTTTTAAAAAATAATTAAAATAATGTTTAATAGTATAATAAATAAGGTAAATTATATTTTTAATGTCTAATATTTTATTTATTATCCGTTTAATCCTTATACATGTTAATCGTTGAGGACTATATTTGTTATGTAAACTGTTTATTTTTATGTAATATGAAAGAGTTATAGTAATTTTAAACAATTAAACACGTTAGCGTAATTTTTTTAGGACTAAACTAAAAATAATAAAACTTTGCACATTTATTATTAAAAATGATCAATGAAATGATAAATATCCTAGACTTTAAATATGATTTCATATTACATAATAAAAATAGAATTAACCGTTAACATGTTCAAAAACTAAACGGATAATAAATAAAGACGGTTCCGGGTGACAACACCTTCTATAAGGCTCTCTTTTGACGCCAAGGGTTTTTATTTTTGGTTTTAACCGAATTAATCGATCTGATTGATTAGGTTCCGGGTGACAACACCTTCTATAAGGCTCTCTTTTGACGCCAAGGGTTTTTATTTTTGGTTTTAACCGAATTAATCGATCCGATCGATTAATTCAGTTAATTTTATCAGTTATTAAATTAGTTTGGTTCAAAGAACGGTTAATATTCTTTAAATATTCAATTAATGATTAATTTAGGGTCCGTTTGTTTCACATACAATGTTTTCGTCATTTTTAAGTATTTGGTTGGAGAAAAACTGGTTGATCAACGTAAAATATTTTTCTGGTCAACAGAATTCCTGTGTTTTTCTGAAAAATGATTTACGGTCTGATTTTCTTTAAGTCATTTTCTGAACTTTTCACTTTAAAGAATAAATACTCAAAATAATTTTATTTTATGAATTTAATATTAATAAAATATTTAATATCATTTTAATCAAAATATTAATTATTAAAATATTTAAAATATATTTATTAATATTTCTAATAATATATATTATTTTTAATATTATAATAAAATAATCAATTATTATAATAATATAAGATATTATATTTTTATTTTAATAATATATAATAAATTATTAATAAAATTTATACTATTTATTAATTTCATAGAAATAATATTATTAAATTATTAATAATGAATAATATTATTTATATATTTAATATTAATATAATAACATAATAATATTTTAATAAAGATATACTAATTAATATTTTTAAAATATAATATAACACTATTACTTTAATAAATAATTAATATAATTTATAATATTTTTATTTCAATAAATATCAATATTTATATTTTTATTAATAAAATTATAAAAATAACATTTTAATAATAAATAAATTATTTTAATATTTTAAAAATAATATTTTATGATAAATAATATTATTTATTTTATTTAATATTTGTAATAAACAGTTTTTAAAAAATTCATCAACTAGTAGAAAAAGGGTTTAAACAACATCTTTCAAACATCGTAAAACGTTTTCCAGAAAATGTAATTCATTTTACGGAAAACATTTTCCAGAAAACATTTTCAGTGAAACAAACGGGCCTTAGTTCGAAATCAATTAATTAATTGAAATTATTAAATATATTATATATATTAAATTGTATTTTAAGCTCAAACCCATTAAGACCCAATTAATTTTTAATCACACTAGACTCATTAAATTATTAATAACTAATTAAATTTCAACCCAAATAAAAAATAGTTGTATTATATTTGAATTAATCTAATTAAATTTTTTTGCTTAATTCGGTTAACTGACTGAAATACCAAATTTTATTTGATTCGATTAATATTTTTAAAAAGTTTAATTCGATTAACCATTAAAGAATTTTTTTTGATTAATTCGAATAATAAAAATACAATTCGATCTGTGATCAAACTAGCCATTTAAACACACCTATTTGAGGCAACGTATATGGATAGAAAAAAAAAGAATGTAGAGTATTATTTAGGTAAAACTGGCCTATACTGAAACCTGACAACTGACCCACTGTAGAGTGTAGGCTCATGTGTTTGGCCCTTTAAGAAAAGTAATCGCAGTCAAGGTTTGAACACCCGTTTCACGTGATGCCCTCAAGATTTACCATTTCTTTATTTATTTTACGTAAGAATATTTAAAGAATACCGGAAACTTCGACACAGTCAGCCATCGCGGGTAGATGTGTGACTCAAGTTGGCTCGAATCGAATTTAATTTGAGAATTTAATGAGTTGAATTGAGTAAGGTGTAACTCGATTCGATAAGTTCGCGAACAGCTCGCCAAATTTTTAAAATATATTTTTAGTAATTACTTTAAAATTATTTCATTCAAAAAATAAATCTAATTTATTAATAAATAATAAAAAATAATAAGTTAACTAATTTATTATTTTTTAATAAATAATAAAATTTTATTAATTAATAATATTATTTTAATACAAACAAAACAAACCCGACCCTATCCTTATATAGTATTAGTAAATTTTATTTTTAGTTAAAAAATAAGGTAAATTTTTAGTAAGCTTAATGAACAACGAGTCTAGTTGAGCACAATTTTAACGAGATTAACGAGCAACAAATTTTTTTTAACGAGCACGATTCAAACACTGCTCAACTCGCGATCGACTCGTTTGATAAGCACCCTACTGATACTCCAACTAATTGAGCACCATTAGCTTTTTTAAAAAATAAAAATAAAAATAAAAATAAAAGAGAGTCATTCAAATGAGAAAAATGATCAAAATAGGTCAAAATATGATAAAAATTTATATAAAAAAATCTGTCAATGATGATTTAATTTGATATCTCAAAGTAAATTTAGATTTTCTTTTTAAACCTTCTTTTGGTAAAAGAATTTTGAACTGTAATACTGATTTTCGTTAGGCATGCATGCATGCATACATGCACATATCCAGTAAGCCCAGATTAGAGCCACGACCTAAGAACCTTATCCAGTCTCTTGGCCTCAGCCACCAGATTCTTCTCTTCCACTCCAACAAATCAGCCTCCTTCAAACTCATCTCTATTCGAAACTCACCCTTACCCTTATCTCGTCAACTCAAATATACATCATGTAAACTAGTGACAACGCTATAAATGGGATGTTAAAGTTAGAGGAAATTTATTTTGTGATGCCAAATTTAGAAATTGTATAAAGATTTTTTTTTAGTAGATGAAAATGAATAATGGGTGTCAATATTCTTTTAAAAACATATTAATTTTATATTTTTTTTTATTAAATTTATATATAAAAACTTTTTCAAAAGTTTTAGGGTGTCATATCACTATACCTTGGCTCCGCCAGTGATGTAAACACTGCCTATAAAACCCGATGCACTCAACAGAAAAGGGGAGGCTACGACCCTAATCGAATAGCTCTACAAAATACAAGTTAGAAAGGCTAATGAGAAAGCCGAAAAAGAGAGAAACATAGCTTTACCTTCTGCTTGTGGCGTTACCAGGAGATTTGAACGATCGATAGGCTAAGATAAACAGTATAACATGGACTGAGCCCGATCGAATAGTGGTGTAACGTGATTGAAAAGGAAGAAATCGAGACGCTCAAGCGTATATTTACGATATTTGAGGCATCTTTTTAGAGAAATCAGTACCACATCGGAACTCCCAATGCTTAGATATGGATTTTTTGGTAACATTTAACAACTGTCAATAGTAGCCGACGATGATTGTCAACGACAAATGACGACCGACACTCTAGTAAGAAGGTAAAGATTAAGAAAGAAAAAGAGAGAGCATGACATCCTTAATTCAATCTAGTCATGAACCAAATTAACGATATCACATTGATTAATATAAAGTATATTTAGCCCTAATTGAATTATCAAATAGTCAAA